ACAGTGAATAACCGTAAATTGACATTCCCAGAATTCCCTGCGTTACATTTCAAATTTGATGTTTCTTCTTAGTTTTTTCTTATCAGTTTTTTCTTATCAGTTTTGTATATTAGGGTTGTGTGTTACACCTAATGTTGTTAAATGAATGTTTATTGCATTATTTGTTTCATGTGTGTTACCATGATGGTGTTTAGCGTTTGTGTGAATGACACTGTGCACCTTCTATATATGTTATTATTTAAAAGCTGCTTGTGATGGGCTTTGGTTCATCATGTGACTTTCTCATCACCACCTGCATTTGGTGGTTATCAGTATATTACAAAGGTACAAAACAGATTTCAGTACTTCAATAGGTTGGTATATTAACATTATATCAGTTAATGAAATTACTGTATTTAACTGTAAATTTAAGTTAAAACCTAAAACGTTGCTACCGTATTTTTTACGGTAAAATTCCGGCAACCGTAGCTGCTGGTTTTTTACTGTAAATTTTATGGAATTTTTTTTACAGTGTAGGGATTGGGTTAAGTATATTTTTGGACAGTTATGTTGATCCAGGATCAACAAAAGATGTTGATCCAGGAGCATACCTTACTTGGCAAAATCACGGCGACCGTGAAGCACCTTTATTTTTAAGAGTGTATAATTAAAAACAAATTATGGCCGCAAGCAGCAATCGTCAGGGTCCAAAAAAAACAATGGCCCATGATTAGCGATCTAACGGAAATTAATCTGCGTTTTTTACAGGAAAGTCTAACTTGAATCATTACTGAAAGTTCGGGTTTGATGAAACTGGTTACAGCAAAACACAGGGGTCAGAAATGGCAACTGACTTTCAAAAGAAATCACTCCCTCTTACTGTTTAAAGGAGAGGTCAAAAATACTCCTCTAAAATGTTTACTGTCATAAGGCATGTGATCATAATATATTTGGTGTATAAATAATAATATATATAAGTGTGAACATATATTCAACATTTAGACAAAACGCATGTCCATCCATTTCAAATGAATGTGAAGTTATCATTTGCAGCTCAAAACTTTATCTGAAGCATTTTTCTCAAGGCTCTTTTATCTTTTTTTCTATAATTATGTGTAGCCATAACTTACTTTTTTATTCATACCACAAATAAGTGTCTTTATAGAAATCTTATATTTAAATATATAATCTTGGAAAAGACAAATAAATGGTCTCTTCATTTTAAATGGATAGCAATATATTTCAAATTTCATCATGTCTGACTACTTGAAAATATGTTTTATTGGGTCTATAAAAATTAAATAAAGATTTAAAGATCTATAAGAATTTTACAGATTTTAATGTACAAATGTACAAAAAAATGCTTACATTTATATTTTATACTGGGATAAATCTCGGGTGGCAGATGGGGTGGCAATGGTTTGGCAGGTGCCACCCCGGTAGATTCACCTCTGGTACATTTTTTTTTCCCCTTCAGCAGAAGTTGTCTTAGCAGACCTTCTTAATAAATTGCACTCAATAAATGAATTAATCACATTAATGGCAATTAAAGCTGCTGTAAGGGATTTTTTGCCTGTAGCCTAGTGTCTGACAGATATCACTGATGTCTGAGAAATCAAACTACTCGCAGTTGATATTTCATACATTTGTGGTGGGAATGTTTTATTTATTTTATAAGTTGTAAGAGGTGTTTGTGCAGCAATAAGATTTTTTTTTACAATGACTTGATAGTTACTTATTCATGTTAAATATACAAAAAATCACTAAAATAGTAAAAATGCAAACACATGTTACAAAGGAACAACATTAAAATATCTATTTCATTTTTAAAAATAGTTCCACACTTTTTCATCATCTTACAGACTTTATAGATGCCATATTGAATTTAACACATGAAAACTGCGGGATAGACTTAGGCTGATGATACACAGGGTAACTTTTTGGGCAATGTTGATGTTAACAGGCAACCAGGTGAGACACAGATAGTATCCAGACAGAAATTTGTTGCCCATTCTCAATGGGAAAGTGCCCAAGTAACATTGCCCGGCAACATTGCTCAAAAAGTTACCCCATGCATCATAAGCCTTATAGTCTTTACAATGCCACAGACTGTATAAAGATCCCAGATCATGTAATTTTCACAACTCTCAAAAATGTTGTGTACTGAAAAAGATGTTTTGTCAGCTGAAAAATCTTTATGTTGTTAAACAACAGTAAAATCCACTGAACGCACTGCACTTCTATCCCTCACAGCCTTGTTTTCATTCCTGTCAAAAATGAAATATGGTGTTACCCTGACTAAGGTCTATAGGTTGATCCAGTTAAAAATGACTGAAAAACATCCCTGCAAAAGCACAGCTAAAAAGAGTCTGACATTGAATTAAATGCACAATTTGTAAAAATTCAGTTTAACAAAACTGCTGAGATCATGGCACTGCTTGTATTGATATATTGGCACTATTTCGTTCTCTGTATGTGACCTATTGCAATGTCTAATCACATTATATTCACCAGGTTGTTTTTTGTAAGGTTTTTTAAACTGCTCAAACCCACACGCTACCCTTTCCCTCGCTCTCTCCTGCCCCCTGCTTGCCACAGCAGCCCCCCAGGCCTCCATGGCGTGATGCAGGCAGGTTCTTGTAGACAGCACGGCTGTAGGGGATGAAGCATAGGCCCAGCTGGAGGTGGCGTGCCATCCTGCAGTAAGCGGCCAGAGCCAGAACCAGGAGCGGAGCCAGCAGCAGGAACCCCACCACCAGTAAAGCCACACAGCCTCCATCATCCAAGAGATCTGAACAGTAGACTGAAGTACCGTGGTGCTGAACCTTTGGAGCAGACGGAGCAGTGCAAGAAAAGGGGTTAGTTAGGAAGATTTCACAAGAGAGGGAGGGGACTGAAAGTACTGTAAAATTGTGCCTGATATACTGTATATTGTCAGATCAGATAAGAGCATGATTACATTGACCAGCGATAAGAAAATTAATAAAAACATCCACATATGGTGAAGAAGTGGGAGTTGACTGAGGCAGCTCAGTTAGAGATGATTAACTTATCACTGTCACAAAGAAACGATAAAGCGAGGATTACATGACAGAGTTTATTTCCTCTGCTCATCCAGGTGTTTTGTGTTAGTTTGACTGAACTCTGGGAAGTTTAGTCATCATCAGTGCAATGACATTAGAGCAATCTGAGCGGTCTTTTAAATTGATCAAAAGTGAAAGTAAAGACATTAAATCCTGGAAAATGTATCACGGTTTCCAAAAAATTGTAAGCAGCAAATTAGCATATTAGAATGGTTTTTGAAGGATCACGTGACACTGAAGACTGCTGAAAATTCAGCTTTACCATCACAGGAAGAAACCACATTTTAAAATATATCAGAAATAGACAACAGTTCTTTTAAATTGTAATAATATTTCACAATATTACCGTTGTTCAAGTATTTTTTATCAAATAAATGCAGACTAGGTCAGCACTTCTTTCAAAATCATTAAAAAATCTTACCGACCAGCGACCACAAACTTTTGAAGCGAACCTCAAATCTTTTTTTTCCCTTCTCACTTTTAATGTATAACAATTAGAACAGTAATCGGTCAAGTAAATTTGGTCATTTTGGACTGGATATTAACCTTATATTAACGTTGTCTTACTTATTTGTTACGTAACTTAGAAACCGCACTTACCGTTGAATGGCAGAGGAAGCCAAACACGACCATGACGAGCGAAGGCAAGAGGATGAGGCCGAAGATCAATGCAGCCAGACCCACATTGAGCGCGGCGATGATCAGATTCTGTGCTGTAACCAGAACAGAACAGGCCCAACAGTCCAGAGCGCCCCTCAGCTCCAGGGGAGACTCGTTCACCGCACTGCTTGCTATCGAGTACGGAGGAGGAACCACCACACATGAGCTGGACACGTTTGCCGGAGTACTCGAGGAGATGGAGCCGGTGTGATGGAGGCGCGGGTGAGGTGTTTCGGGCTCCCCTCGGTCCGTGGCGGTCTGCAGGGACGCGGGTTTCTCCAAGGTACCATTACGGGAAATACTCATCTTGCCGTTCATCATGCTTTCAGGTATGAAAGTAGTTTTTGGCTGTCAAAAAAATAAATAAATGAATAAATAATCAAACTAATGAATTGGCTACGGTAAATTGGCCAAAATACAGCGATAAATAGCTTTTAAAGTCATGCTATCAGCAATAAAATGACTATTAAAGGAATATTCCAGGTTCAAAAGAAGTTTAAGCTCAGTGGACAGTAGCTGTTTGTGAAATAATGTTGATTACGATCAAAGAAGAAAAAAGCAAATGATTGAGACACATTAAAAGTAAATGGGGCACATTTTTGAATTTGAAGGATTTAAAAGTGAAGCTTAATTTTTTTTAAAAACACTTACATTAATTCCTGTGTTAAAACTTGTGTATTATTTGAACTGTAAAGCTGTTCAACGTTTACGAAATTAGCCCAATTCACTTCTATTGTAAGTGCCTCACTGTAACCCAAACTTTTGCTTTTTTTTTTTTTTAGAAAAAGAGGGACAAGTGAAAAATAATTGTTGTGTTCATCAGCGTTGTGCCACAAATGATATTGATTGAGCTTAACTTGCATTAAAAAATAATATTCTTTTAAAAGAAAAACAATTGTTGGTGGAAACTGAAAAGTGTGGATTGTATTCCTCTAAAAAGGTCTGGTAAAATGTAGAGAAAGCAAACGGTGACAACTAACACTGAAGATCAGGAAATGAAGTCGCTGACCCCACCCCGATCTCCAGGATGACCAAAAAATACTAAACAATAACTTTGGAACAGCTCATCAGGAAACTCTGACTGCTGACCAGACCACAAATACTATAAAACAGCGGAACCCCAAAAGAGCAACATCCCAAAGAAACGGTCATAAATAGTCCTTTAACAGCTTGTTACAGATTCACAATAATAGCAAGTGAATGCCAGGAAAATATTAATTATCCTCTGATTTATGCAGTTTAGTCCCTTTGATCAATAATACACATTGAGTAGTATAGCATTGAGGACAGATGTTAGAGCACAGATCATCATGTTCTCTGTCAATCTAAACGTTTTAGATTGTGACTTCTGAACTCGGAGGTCACATGCTTGATTATTCTTTCTAGGAATAAGTCCTCTGCTTAATCTTGTTTATTTGGAGTGGGCTCAATTTTTAGTGAATGCAAGTATATTATCATGCTTCCATTAATAGTTCCGATGTTATCGAGATCTTGATTTAAAAACCTTTCCCAAACAATCACCTTTTAAATTCTTAAAGGAGCAATTTGCTGTGACCTTGAGGAAGTTTTTAATGGCCTGTATCACTTAAGTGTTTACTTAAGTGACCGTAATTACCAACATAGTAATTTATTCTTTACACTTATATTTTTTACATTTATTAGTTCTGCACATGGTATTATTCAAAGTGATGGTGGTAAAATTATTTGCATGTTTTATTTGATTATTTATTAATGTAGATATAGAAATATCAATAGTATTAATATTAAATATTAATTTAGATATAGAAATATTTAATTTAATTTAAAGTGTTTAGGCTATATGCTTTCCTAAGTGTGAGTAGTGCAAACATTTGTACATTTGCCAAGATTAAATCACCACCATGACTAATCTTACATTCTGATTCAAGATACAGAATATCAGGAAATTCCACAAAATATCTAGAATATATAAAGGGGGTTTTGACAGGACATAGACAGTCTTTAGGGAATTAAGGTCAGCATATATGGCAGAAAACAGAACAGAGCACAAACTGATGAGATAAGTTCAAACAACTGTTTATCACTGGGGTATTGAAAACAATTTTTAGATTAAGAATATATTTAATCTGAATCCAAGGTACCAGGCCTTAATGCTTCATACTGAAAGACCTTTACAATCAATTTATCCAAAGCCTGAATGATTTAAAGGCCACAGTTTATATGTGCATATTTACATACATAAAAAAAAAAAATATTAAATTCATACACTGTCAAAAGTTTGGAATAATTAGGATTTTTAAAATATTTTTGAAAGAATCTCTTATTCTCACTAAGACTGCATTTATTTGATCACAAATACGGTATTGTGAACTATTACAATTTGAAATACCTGTTTTCTATTTTAAAATATTATAAAATGTAGTTCATTCCTGTGATGCAAAGCTGAATTTTCAGCATCATTACTCCAGTCTTCAGTGTCACATGATCCTTCAGAAATCATTCTAGTATGATTTTAAAAATCTAAAGAAAAATCAAATATTACTTTTTTGAAACTGTTTTTTTTAGGGACGGCATGATATAAAGTAAAACCCTAAAAGACATTTACATCACGAAACAGTGCTATTTACATAAGTCCAAACACAATCTAAAAAATAAAAAAAATCTAAAATCTTCTAGACTTACATTAGAGTAATAAAGTTGGTTGTCCGTTCCCTCAAACACCACCTTTCCTCCTGCAGAGAAATTTCCTTTACTTGTTATATAATATTTCCTTTCCTCAATGAATCCTTCACTCTGGCTGAGATGATTATTTCAGTCTATTATATTTGTACGTCTCATTCATGTAGTTTTCATGTCCACTGGCTCTGTGTGAAACTGAACTCTGTGGAACGGTCATTCCTCTGTTTCAGCCCTTTCTCTTCCTCCTTTCCTGCTCCGCTCTTTCCTTCCTTTGATGAAGATCGCTAATATCTCTCCGCTCCCACTTCTCTTACTGGCCTCCCGCTGCACTAGCTGGGGCATTTAGGATTGTGGGGTGTTGGGTAGTGGGGGCGTAGTGTTATCCAGGAGATTTTTTTGCCCAATAAGATGGATAACCTCGACTCCCTTTGGAGCTACACACTCCACAAAAGAGTGTTTTGCACATTACACTGAACAAATTAGGACCTTGAAACAATTTTCACTCAGAAATAGTCAATTTTATTTCTTACAAAGAAACAAGTAACATTGAATTAAAATAGAAAGACTGAAATAGTATTTTCTTGTTAAACATACTCCAATAATCATTTTATTTACAACTTTGAACAATTTTTTTTACAGCATGTTGTGACAGTATGTTTTTTTCTAAAGCAATTACATTTTTATTTTGTGCATTTAAGACCATTGAAAAGATCTTTACAAGCACATTATACAAAACTGACTTTTTATAGTTTAACTGTAAAAGCAAACCTAAAAAACGAATTTCCGCATCTTTTTAATGCAGTAATTTGTATTGTGAGTAAATGAATAGCTAGAATGATTGAATCGGTTAATTTTTCAAAAGAAAAACTCTGGCCGTTGCATAACCCTGGTTCTTACATTCACAACCTCTGTATTTTCATCACAGTCTTAGAAAATAACCAGACTGGTCTAAAATCAGATGCATCTCAAGCACAATAGAAGGACTCAGATGCCCTAAGAGGAAAATATATATCATGATTAAGAGGCACATCAAAAAAAACTGTGAAATTTGAAGAAGATTGACAAAACTCCCAAGTGGCACAGAAAGAGATCAAGAAGGCTTTCTCTCCTGAGTTACAAAAATATATGAAATACTGTGTATAAGAGTTAGTAAAGTCTTAAACGTATGTCTGAATCACTGAGGGCTCTCTAAAACATTTGGCTCTTTGTGTGACGGTTCCCTTTAGTTCAGCTGCAGCTACAGCAGGGGGAGTCGATGCCTGTTTAATATCTCTCAGGATGTGTCAGAGCTGTCAGGGCACAGAGGGCTGTGGGGATGTTTTTTGGAGATTTCAGCAGACGGGATGTAAATTGGCTGTTTTTGAGTGAGATATTGGAGGCTTTAGCTATTATATTAATTTTTCATTTGCATATTTTTGTTTGCAGCTCTGTGATTTTATCAGAACAGAAAAACATTTTCAGGTCACGACGACCCACCAGTTGAGAACGACTGTGACAGAGTGAACTGGATAAGATATTGAGTTAACAGGGGTGAAAACAGGATGGTGACTTTATCTATGAGTAAATAAACTATCTACAGTTGTTTATTTATTTAGTCACAGCAGGGAGATAAAAAGGGTGTGTGGAGTTAAGTGTGGAGGGATGGTGAAAAACGAGATATATCCCGACAGTCATAAAAGAGGAAAACCTGTCTTCCTGTCCTTGGAGACTGAACAAATTAGGACCTTGAAACAATTTTCACTCAGAAATAGAAATTCTCTTACAAAGAAACAAGTAACATTGAATTAAAATAGAAAGACTGAAATAGTATTTTCTTGTTAAACATACTCCAATAATCATTTTATTTACAACTTTGAACAATTTTTTTTACAGCATGTTGTGACAGTATGTTTTTTTCTAAAGCAATTACATTTTTATTTTGTGCATTTAAGACCATTGAAAAGATCTTTACAAGCACATTATACAAAACTGACTTTTTATAGTTTAACTGTAAAAGCAAACCTAAAAAACGAATTTCCGCATCTTTTTAATGCAGTAATTTGTATTGTGAGTAAATGAATAGCTAGAATGATTGAATCGGTTAATTTTTCAAAAGAAAAACTCTGGCCGTTGCATAACCCTGGTTCTTACATTCACAACCTCTGTATTTTCATCACAGTCTTAGAAAATAACCAGACTGGTCTAAAATCAGATGCATCTCAAGCACAATAGAAGGACTCAGATGCCCTAAGAGGAAAATATATATCATGATTAAGAGGCACATCAAAAAAAACTGTGAAATTTGAAGAAGATTGACAAAACTCCCAAGTGGCACAGAAAGAGATCAAGAAGGCTTTCTCTCCTGAGTTACAAAAATATATGAAATACTGTGTATAAGAGTTAGTAAAGTCTTAAACGTATGTCTGAATCACTGAGGGCTCTCTAAAACATTTGGCTCTTTGTGTGACGGTTCCCTTTAGTTCAGCTGCAGCTACAGCAGGGGGAGTCGATGCCTGTTTAATATCTCTCAGGATGTGTCAGAGCTGTCAGGGCACAGAGGGCTGTGGGGATGTTTTTTGGAGATTTCAGCAGACGGGATGTAAATTGGCTGTTTTTGAGTGAGATATTGGAGGCTTTAGCTATTATATTAATTTTTCATTTGCATATTTTTGTTTGCAGCTCTGTGATTTTATCAGAACAGAAAAACATTTTCAGGTCACGACGACCCACCAGTTGAGAACGACTGTGACAGAGTGAACTGGATAAGATATTGAGTTAACAGGGGTGAAAACAGGATGGTGACTTTATCTATGAGTAAATAAACTATCTACAGTTGTTTATTTATTTAGTCACAGCAGGGAGATAAAAAGGGTGTGTGGAGTTAAGTGTGGAGGGATGGTGAAAAACGAGATATATCCCGACAGTCATAAAAGAGGAAAACCTGTCTTCCTGTCCTTGGAGCCAGGATTTCCGCAGTAAAGTCGGCAGAGAGCGCTGAGGTGTCAGCGAAACATTACTCCTGTCCCATGACCTCTGCAGGCCTCCGCTTCCACTCGCAGACAGACAGGAGACTGTGAATCTGTAACCTTCCTCTAATACACTTCCACACACACACACAATCCAGAAATAACTTGCACGTAAACACATGGGAATTTATCAGAATGTTTTATTTTTTATAGTTAGAATTATATCAGGTATAACACAAAAATCACAAAATGTTTTAGACAAGTCTGGCTCAGTTCCTTAATGTTTTCCTTTTCTTTTTTAATACAGTAAAACGAAAAAAAAAAAAAAAAAAAAGAACCTGAAAACAAACTCCGAGAGGTATCAATGGAACGCAAATTTGAAAACTCGTAATCTGCAATTCATCAATAATGATACAAATCGGAAAGGTCATAATTATCATAACGGCTAGGATGACTGGAATCATACACGTGTCACAATATCCTGTACCTCATGTAAAGCAAACAAATTTCATGTGTTAAATATACAGTACAAAGACATTCGGTTCATAAAAGTGTAATGACTCTGTTCTAAGCACCAACTTGTGAGATTAAATTCATGTTTTCAAACCTACAGATCATTTATACAGACAGAGAGAGACCGGGGAGGGAGGGGGATCAGCACCATTTTGAATCAGACGTTCCCCCGTAAGCCTCACCACATCAGCACAACAGAAAGATTTACGAAATATGCATGTCACTAGGCATACATTTCCATTACCCTTCAAATTGCGCAAATTGAAATTGCGCCTAATGGAAACGCGCCTTCAGATAAGAGAAGCATCAAGGACGATCAATAAATACAAAGGTAAAGACAAGTAATTAAATAAAATAAAAAAAAAACAACAAAGAATAATTCAGTTATGATTCAATCCGATTGAGAAATGCATCGAAAGCCACAAGTTCGCAGGAATGGTTTTTCTTTTTCTTTTTTTGAGTTGTACAAAAACGATTCACAAAACACACACAAGGTTTTCCAGACAAATGCAATCAAATAAGTTTTGGATTAAACCCGTATTTTTTTGGAATAACTGTTACATATACTGTACCTCACATGATATTTTAATGCTCTTAGAAAATGTCATTATTTAATCAAATACCATGAAATCACCTTTTGTCTAAATGCATACCACAAGGCCCAAATGGTGTTAGTCTAGACTTAAAGTTTTTATTTTTTTCCGAAAACCCTTGACAACTTAAAAAAATAGCACCCAGTCAAATATGCAAATACCATTTACAAAGGTCAGACTTGTAGTAATATGACATGACCGAAACAACAGAAAAACTAAACATAATGCCACTGCAATGGTCATCAGCTCCGAGAGAAATTAATCCCCTTGCTGTTATACATGTTGTATCAAAGCACCACTCATTCAGAGACACTGACTAACTGGACTGGACTGGTGACATCGTCTTCCATTTGCATAAAAAAGTAAACTACATCAGTACCTGAATTAATGCACATGCTCAGCTAATTTTTGACACATTTTTAAAAAGGAATCACAGCAGTTATCCATTGTGGATGAGTGACCTGATAGCCAAGTTCCACGTTATTGTTAAAGTCCAATGATGTAGCACCATTCTAGTCATTCTATAATCAGGAGCGTGAGAACTATCAGATGTCTGAGGGGAAGACGACTGCGCTGGAGAGACATCTGCTGATAGTATTGTAAACAATGTGAAGTAAACAGCGATTTGATTGGCTGTTCCATAAGCCTGCAGTAGTGGTTTTGGTAATAAAAATAAAAATAAGGAGAACGTAAGGTTTGTGCCGCTGATTTGGGGCAGGAGGGTGGGAGATTTGGTTATGGCTGTGTAGTTTCAGACATCAAGTTCATCTACTGCACGGGACTGGAGCCTAGGAAGAGAAAACTCATGCATTACAATTGCTGTGAAAAGAATTAAAATGTACTTATAGTATCATAGTGGTCAATGACGATTCTGTTGATGGATTATTTTATTTTAAATAGGTCCAGGAAACATTTCATATTATAAATTATATTATGCATACTGAAAATGAAGCCTATTTGATAAAAATTAAACATTCAAATATAATAAAAAAAATAGCATTACATATTGACATTTTATTTTAAACACACAGTTCACATTTCACAAAAATATTACAAATTCTATTTTGCATACTGAAAATGAAGCCTATTTTTAAAATTAAAATAAAAAAAAAAACAGCATTACATATTGATTTTTTAAAACATGTCCAGTTCATATTTCACAAAAATATTATACATTCTATTTTGCATACTGAAAATTATGTCTATTTTCAAAAAATACAATTAAATAAAAATATCTTATTTTGTTATTTTATTATTTTTAAACACATCAGGATCAGT